CCTCCACATGGTTCACGCTGCTTCTGCCGCCACATGGTTCCTCTTCCACCTTTAGGAGTGAAACAGGTTTTAGCAACTTCAGCGACAGTCGGAGCAAAACTGGTGGAGGATTTTTTGCCCTTTCCAGTACAAAACAGCGCTGCTTCATTTGTGTGTTTTCTCGTTTCCAAGAGTCTTGCTGCATGTTTTAAGTTAGCTGTAGTCTTTTATGCATGAAAACTACTTGTATTGGTCAGAGATGTGTGAATCCTTCACACTCGAACTCCAGAGCAGTCAAATTGACGGCTTTTACTTTTGGAAGTGTAATTATTCCGTGTGTGACTCTTTGATCTTCACAACGTTGCGCTTTTTCTGTATCTAGTTCAAGTGATTATTTTCATAAAATTACCTTTTGAAATTGAAATGTGGGTCATTCTACCTTTAACCCCCAGAGAAGATTGTTACCGTAGCAACAAACTGATGTCGGCGGTTAGCATTCAGTAAAAAAAAATATATGTGTGATGAAAATATATCTCATTTTCCTTAAAAAAAGAAAAAAATGATGCGACATAAAAACGTTTTTGTGGTGTTTGAGGTTCTTTATGACGTTAAGTATCTTCATCAAAGTGTGATGCCATAATAACAATATAACTGAGTTGTATAGACAGATACTTTATTAATCCCCTGTAGGAGATATTCAAGTGTCCAGCAGCAGAAGACTCATCCAGGTTTGTTGTACAGTCTGACAGCCGAAGGAACAAAGGATCTCGTAAAACGCTCCGTTCGGCAGCGTAGTGATAGGAGCCTGTTGCTACGGTTACTCCTGAGCGGCCATAGTGTCTGTTATTAATCAAGATAGAAAAACATCAAGAAATGGTTTTTATGGCCCTGTCCTTCTGCATAGCAACTCATCTCTTTAATTCTCAAGGACACTGTGAGAATTAGCGCCACGCCCTGAAAATGAAGCCCCTCAGAAAACGACTAAAATTGCCGACTGCGATTAGTCTGAGTTTCCGTTGGATCTCCTGCTGTCACTAATCCTGCCCAGCCATTGGTCAGCGCCTCCTCCGGCTGAATATGCAGATGGACCCAGTGGATAAGGGGGATGATGACACTTTGGGTAATGGTTAGTATCTGGAAGGAAATGCAGCGAATCTCCTGTCGCGCCTCATATCTCAAGGGCACTTTGGATTGAAGAGTCGGCCGAGGAGAGAGTCGCTTTATTAAGTCCAACCGATCTGTTACAAACACTGTGATCCTGGGGACAAAGGAGAGAAGTGGGGACGGGGAAGACATTTTCTGACGCACACAAGGCGCTGAAACAGAACGGGTGAACAAAAGTATCTGGTAAAGCATCATGTTAAGTGTTGGAGATGAAGGAGAGGCGTGCATCCGTCAGCTTGTGCCAATTCGAAGCGAAATCCAAGACGGAATTATTGACTTTCAATTAAAGCGTCATTAGCAGTTTGTTTACAGAATTCGAGCAGTAAATCTTTGCAAAGAAGCTGATGGTTTCTTTCACAAATGCATGGGTTTCAGAGCAGAGCGTCCGCAGTGGTTAGAGCCATCTCCTCCTGCAATATCATCATGACTTTATGACGTGTGTTACCACTAGAGGGAGATTTTTTTCACAAACTAGAAAAGTACCAACTGAAAACACAGCAAAACATCATTTAAAGAAAATACCAAAACAAATTGGGTCCAATAGCATAACAAGATACAGGCCATAAAACATCTTAGAGATCTATTCTTGTTCACAAAACTACAAAAATGTGGACAGCAAAGTTTAGACAGAATCTTGACCCGCGTCAGCAGAGGGCATACCCCAGTGGAGTTTGCATGTTCTACCGGCGTCTGCAAAGCTTTCCTCCAGGTGCTTTTGATTGAATAAAAGCCTTTTGCACCTGTCCTGTTGATACCTACAGTGCTGAGACGAGGGACTCAGCACGA